GGGTTAAGGGTTTAGGGGTTTGGGGCTTAGAGTTCTCGGGTAACGCTTTTGGGGGTTAAGGGCTTAGGGTTTGGGGGCTAGAGTTCCATGGGCGTTTGGGTCTAAAGTTTAGGGGGTTCGATCTCAAAGTGGGGTGTAGAGCACCTCTGGGCTCGAATAAGAGTTCTAGGGCTTCGGGTTTAGGGATTAGGGCTCTAATAAGAGTTGGAGGGCTTTGTGTTTAGGGTTTGGGCTTTATATCAACGTGGGGTGTAGAGCACTAGTTAATAAACGTTCTAGAGCTTCGTGGAGTTTAGGCAGTTTCGGGTTCGGGCACGACGATTTAGGGCTTAGGGTTTAGGGTCTAGTGTGATGTAGAGTACCTGTGGTTGCTGTGGGTCTTAGCAAGCATCTCTTCGCGAGTTGAGGGCTTAGGCTTCTAGGAATATCTCTCTGTGTCGTAGGGATGGTAGGGTTGGTGTAAAGGAGGGGCCCTAATAATTCGAATAGGGTTTTAAGGCCCATTATCCTATATCCATAAATAAGCAGCCCCCTCAGAATAATATGGGTACTTATTTAGGCCCGTAAACTACTACCTGTGGGTTTTGGGGGGTCATTGAGTAGCTGTGGATGTTTGGTCCCGGCCCACCAGAGCGGGATGCAGAGGACGTGCATTTGCATTTAGGGTAAAGTTGAGGGTTCAGGGTTTCGGGGTTTGGGGTTTAGGGTCTTCACAGCGGAACTTAGGAGCAAGCCCGTGTAGAACCCTTCTGAATCCCTTGATTCTAGACTTCTAGCAGCCCTCAAAGAACCCTAATCCTTAAAACCCTAAAACCTACACCCTACAACCCAAAACGCTACAAACTGCTATGAACCCCAAACCTGATAAACCTTGTAGATCCCTTCACAGGAACCCCTAAACCCTAAACCTTAAACCCTAAACCCTAAACCCTAAACCCTAGACCCTAGACCCTAAACCCTAAATCCTAAACCCCAAACCCTAAACCCTAAACCCTTCTAGTACCAATCTCGGGTTGAGGGGCATCCCCCGGCTGGAGAATGGCTCGAAGGCCGTCGTTGCGGTGGCGTAGCCGCGAGACCTTTGGGATCGGACGGTTTAGGGTTTAGGGTTTAGGTTTGGGGTTTGGGGTTTTAGGGTTTAGGGGCCGAATCAAGTTGCTGTGAGGCTTTTAAAGCAGAGCTGTATGGAGGTTCTAGAAGGATTTCGAGAAGAGTTCTGCAAAAAGCTGTATGAAGATGCTACGAAAGTTTCTGTAGCAGCTTCAGAATCTTCAGCGCCAGCCCTACAACGGGTTCGAGATTTCAGGGCGTCGCTGCAGGCTCATGAGGCTTTGCAAGCAGGGTTCATCTGTGCGGAACCCTAAGCCCTAAACCCTAAACCCAAACCCTAAACCCTAACTAAACCCTGAACCCCAAACCCTAAACCCTAAATGTGCCTCTTACTTGTACCCACTTAAGGCGAGTGCCACGGGACGCGTGGTCACAGTAGCATGACCTTACTTGGGGCTGACGGTAATGTCGTGGCCTTAGTAATTACAGTAGGGTTTTGGGGCCCATTATACTATAACCATATGAAGGAACCCCAAATGTATAGGTAATTGTTAAGGCCCCTATATGATAGGATATAGGGCATTAAGGCCATGGGAATGCTGGAGCTTGCAGTCGCGAAGGCGTGAAGTCCCAAGGATGGTGCACTCACAGAGGGTTTGGGGTTTGGGGATTTTGCTTTGGGCCCAGCGTCTTTTGGGGGTTTGGAGTGGGAGAGTGAGGCCTGCCAAACAGAGCTAGTCGAATGGGGCCACTGAGCTGGTTCAGCTTCTTCTTCATGGTCTGACTGCATTCTGACTTCCGATCTACAGGTTGTTCTAGTCTAGAATCTAGAAGTTACGTTCCTTAGTTTCTTTGTTGCCTTCGGATTTGTCTCGGGCACAGGCCGTAAAGTCAAGAAGTGCTTAGACCGAAACGAACCAACATGCTAGAACGGCTGCTCCGAAAGAGTGCTCAAGTGGCACACCCCATCAACGGCCTAAACCCTGACCCTAAACCCTCAACCCCTGAACCCTAAACCCTCAACCTCTAAACCGTAAACTCTAAGCCCTCAACCCTCAACCCCTGAACCCTCAATCCCTCAACCCCTGAACCCTACATCCTCAACCCCAAACGCCGAAGGCCCTAAACTCTAAACCCAAAACGCCTGAACCCTAAACCCTAAACACTAAAATCTAAACCCTAAACCCTAAACCCTAAACTCTGGACCCTAGACTCTAAACCCTAAAACCCTAAACCCAGAAGGCCCTAATCTCTAAAGCCCGAAGCGCCTGAACCCTAAACTCTAACCCTAAACTCTAAACCCTAAAACCCTAAACCCTAAAACCCTAAACTCTAAACCCTAAAACCCTAAACCCCGAAGGCCCTAATCTCTAAAGCCCAAAGCGGTCCTAAACCCTAAACCCTAAACCCGAATTCTAAAGCCCAAAGCGGTCCCTCCGCAGCTTGCAGCCAGGACTCGGATCGAGACTGCGATTTGTACCACAGAGGGCTGCTCAGGAACGGAAACCTGGGGTTTAGGGTTTAGGGTTTAGGATTTAGGGTTTAGGGTTTAGGGTTTAGAGTTTAGGGTTTAGGGTTTAGGGTTTAGAGTTTAGAGTTTAGGGTTCAGGGCTTAGGGTTCAGGATCTAGGGGGGATGCCGTAGATCCCAAGGGTCCGAGATGGTTGGATGACTCGATCTCTGGTCGAGGATACCCCCTCCAATGTATTCAAGTTTTATGAATCGATATCTGGCTTAGGGTTTAGGATGCCTCCATTGTATTCAAGTTTTATGACTAGATATCTTGGTTTAGGATGCCCTCCATTCTATTCCAGTTTTATGCTCAAATATCTGGTTTAAGATGCCCTCCATTGTATTCCAGCTTTATGATTAGATATCTGGGCTTAGGACGGTTTAGGATACCGGTGCTAAATATCAAGTACCTGCACTAAACCCTAAACCCTAAACCCTAAACCCTAAACCCTAAAACCTAAACCCTAAACCCTAAACCCTAAACCCTAAACCCTAAACCCTACCTGCACCCGTTAGGGAACCACCTCGAGCCATCCACGGAAGCTGGGGTTTACCAGGGTGTGGCTTTCGGAGTTTAGGGCTTTGGGGTTCAGGGTTTAGGGTTTAGGGTTTAGGGTTTAGGGTTTAGGGTTTAGGGCTTTGGGGTTCAGGGAACCGAACCTCTAAACGTAGCAAATATAACAAACCCGAATGTAAGGTCGCCTAAATAATTACCAATATTATCTTTGGGTTTCCATGTTCTAAATAAACTAGAATGGACCCCAAAAAGGAGGACATTAAGGCCCTAAACTGAGGACATATTGTACTTTGGGTCTTGGCTCGACTCTTCGTGGCTGCTTCTCCGAGGCCATAAATACGTCCTCAGTTTAGGGTTTTTTGGACCAGTTATGGTTAATGTAGGGGCCTTAATAATTAGAACAGGATTCCTTCAAAGGGATCCATCTATGACAGGGTTCTAAAGTAGGGGCCTTACTGATTAGAATAGGGCTTTGGGGCCCCTTATACTATATCTATAATCCAAACATCGCCCAGTCCAACCGAAGGAAACGGAGCCTTCTGGTCCTTGAGTTCACACGCCCGAGCTCTGAGTTCAAGGTTCAAAACTTTGGGATTAGGAAATTCGGGTTTGGGGTCTAGACGGTCTAGAGATCACGATGTAGTGTCTGAGATAGACCTCAAGGTCCGTGACTGGTGTAGGTGCTAGTAGGACGATGGTGTCAGAAGCGGCATCCCCAACCAACCAGCGCACCGTGTAGAGAGTTAACGGCGGAGGGTAGAGTCAACATCTGCGTGCGACGTGGAGCCTGTCATCCATGCGCAGCGAGGCGTAGCCAAGCGGAGGTTACTGAGGTCGATTGTGTAGTACCGACCACGTGGCCCAGGCCTGTCGTCCGTCAGCATCACATTGCGGGAAGATGCATGTCCCTGAAAGGCAGCAGGACCCCTTGCCGCCGGGAGCACGGTAGCTCATAGACCTTAGACACGAAGATCTTTGATATTCGAGCTCGAAGGAACACTGAAGCCTACATCCATGGGCACATGACCTCTAAGTAAGGACGTCGAAGAAGACGAACTGAAAGCCCGAAGCTGATTTAGGGTTTAGGGTTTAGGAGTATCACTCACATGAACGTGGTTTCCACGAAAGGCTCGATAAAGGTTCTCTTTATGTAGAGTGTTGATGCGTTTGAACAGAGGTTCTACAGAGGGCTCTTGCAGTTAAAGGGTACAATAGTCAGGAGCCTGAAAGCAGGATCCATCCTTCTGCAGCATCCACATCAACATGAACAAACATCATGCAGCTCCCAAAGATTTCAGTAGGGCACTATTCCTCTACGTTCCCTAAACCCTAAACCCTAAACCGTTAAACCCTAAACCCTAAACAGTCCCTGCATGAACTCTGACAGTCCTGAATCCTGCACACTTGTCTTTAACCCTAGCTCACAAGCCTAGCACCCCCAACCCCAAACCAAACGAAGTCCACAAGCATTTCAAAGATCTAGATCACCAGGAGCCCTATATCCCTTTCTGACCCTCCGCCCCACAACCCGAAACGAAGCCCCCAAACGTAAAACCCTAAACCCTAAACCCTTAACCCTTAAACCCTTCACCTCAAAACCCAAAACCCGCGAGCTAAGGAACGGATCCACGTCAGCTGCATCATCCGGAAGCAGCAAGAGAACTTCTTTGGTTCCCTGGCAAAGGTATAGCGTAGGGGCCGAAATTATTAGAATAGGGTTTTGGGTATATCATAGCATGTTGTGATAAGGAACTATAAAGAGTAATGGTGGAGGTTTGTGAGACTTGGGCTAACACGACAGCTTGGGTGGTTTGGGGGACAAACCTTATACACCCTCAGAGCCCTCAGACCTTAAACAATGTTGATGAACCCTCAGCACTAAATCTTGTACACCCGAAACCCTTACACTTTGCCACCATAAAACCTGTTCCCGAAACCCTTCCCACCCCTAAACCCTGAACCCTATTCCCTATAGACCCTCGCTGCCTTAGAAAACCCTAAACCCTAAACCCTAAACCCTAAACCCTAAACCCTAAAACCTAAACCGAAAACCCTAGAGCCCATATACCCTTGCTGCCTTTAAACTCTAAACCCTAAACCCTGTAAGCTCTGAACCCTCAAGATTCTAGGCCCCTAAACCCTAAACCCTAAACCCTAAACCCTAAACCCTAAACTCCAAGCTCCTAAGGTTTCGGGTTCAGGGCTTAGGATTTGGGTTTAGTGGTTAGGGTTTAGGCTTTAGGGTCTAGGGTTTAGAATTTGAGTTTAGGGTTTAGGTTTTAGGGTTTAGGGTTTAGTAGGCTTTAGGTTTAGGGTTTAGGCTTTAGGGTTTAGGGTTTAGGGTTTAGGGCTTAGTTTAAACCCTGAGCCCTTACAACTCTCATCCTGCCTGGTGCTGGCATAGGAACTGCTCGGAGAAGAGATCTGAATGCAGACCTGTGAGGTTTACCGGTGTCTCCTAGAGTAGGGTTTGATAGGGATCCTTTCAAGGGCTCGTCAAAGGGTTCTACAGGGGCTACCATAAGGGTTTAGGGTCTTGAGGCCTTAATAACTAGAATAGGTTTTATTATAGTAAGGAACCCTAGGGAATAATATTTAAAGTTATTGAGGCTTGTACCTTACTATCTCAAAGTAACAGGGTTTAGAGTTTACACTATAAGTCGTCATAACGAATTACTGCGTAGAGTTTGAAGCTGGATGTGGGGTTTAGGCTAGCGAAAAACTTTCAGGGTCACTGGGGCTAAGCCGTGGTCAAAAGGCAGAACGAATCAACGACGCTTACGGAGTTCAGGATGTGGGGGGACTCCACGTAGTCCTGCGAAAAAGTGCGCCCCCAGAAAAAGCAGACAAAGATTCGAAATCTTCGCAATTCCACTGCTGGCTTAGATTCCGGGCCTCACCTTTGCCAAGCACAACGCCCGAGAGCGCCAAAGACAAAGACACAATTTCAAAAATCGACGCCTTCACAATTTGATCTCTGAATCCTTTTGTCCTCCAAAAAATTCAATAAACCCCGGACCCTAAGACCTTTAAACCCAACCACCCAGCAAATGCTGCCGCTGCATGGCTCGAGACATGAAAGAGCTGCATGTGCCCATCATGCCCCGCAAAAGCCCAACAACACCAACCTGCATCTGCTGACCCTGAACCTGAGTTGATATTTGCAGGGTACTTTATCTTAGGGGCTGAGTACCCTAGCCCCAAAAAGGTTAACCTTTTGAGTTATAGTAGGATTATATAAGCCCCAAAAGGTTAAAGGTTACCTACTCAGCCCATGAGTTATACCCCTGGGAAACCCGATTACAATAACCCCTTAAGCCTAGTTGTTTGGAACGCTGGGCTCGTACGGAAAAGCCCCTTGCAACCAGAACTGTGCGACGCTGAGGAGGGTACCGAAGTTGTTTCCGGCAGCACCAATCCAGAATGCCTGGCCGCATTTCAGATGTCAACCCTAAACCCTAAACCCTAGACCCTAGACCCTAAACCCTGAACCCTAAATCCTAAACCCTAAAACCCTAAACCCTAGACCCTGAACCCTAAACCGTGAACCCTCAACCTTGAGGTTCAGGATGGCAATGCAGCCATAAAAAGTTAGCATTGCTCTGCATGCCCACCAACGCCCAAGCTGCTACAGCCCCACTGTGTCGTGTAGAATTACAATCGTGTTCACTTCAGACGAACCTTTCACGACCACCCTCTGTACACCCAGCCCACAACCTCCAAAACCAAGAAGTCCTTTAGACAACATCAAGCCCTGCACATTCTTGGAAACTGCCAAAGCCAAAAGAACACTTAACCTCAAATGGGTGGTTGTCAAAATTATGGTCCCTTTTCGGGTCCTTATTACAATACGGCACCTATTATTTAGGGTACCCCAAAAGGGACCCTAATTTTGACAACTACCCAAATCTGAAAAGGCCCTGAACCCTTTTCAGAAGGAGCCTAGGGCCCGTCATAAATGATACAGGGTTTATACGATAAGCATGGCGAGTATTATGGGAAACTAAGCCTAACTACACGGTTTAGGGTTTAGGGTTTAGGGTTTAGGGTTTAGGGTTTAGGGGAAACTACGCCTAACTATTCGGACCACGGTTTTAAAGCTACAGCTTCGAGGAACCTTTGAAAATCTCAGCCAAGAGGCCACCTGGCAGCCAACTCCCTGGGGGAGTAACTGCGGGAAGGGCACACCTTAGCTTTGGGGCCGTAAAACAGGGGTCGTCATCCTTCGAATGGAGCGTTGGTGTATATCATAGTCAGGTATAAAAGAAACCTCAAGGATAGTATCGGGAATGGTTTTTGTCCCTACATTCGCCCCTTAAGGGCATTAAGGCGATGGGCTTCGTGGCTTAAGGGCTTTAGCTCGAGCAAAACCCAAAGGCCGTAAACCGCCAAACTCTCGAGGTGTCAGGGTTCAGGCTAAGGCCTAAATACTAAAGACTGTAACAACGAAAACAGAGAAACCTGCAAATACTTAACCCTAAACCCTACACGCTAAAACCCTAAACCCTAAAACCCTAAACCCTAAACCCTAAACCCTAAAACCCTAAACCCTAAAACCCTAAACCCTAAACCCTAAAACCTAAATCCTAAACCCTACAACCCTAAACCCTAAAACCCTAAACCCGTTCGCTCCCACCAATGGGCCCCGAGGCAGCTCAAAAAGACGCAACCCAGAGAAACTCCGAGACCCCTTACTTTCATGCACTCTAAACTTCTAGTAGGGTTTAGGATTTAGGGTTTAGGGTTTATTCTAGAGGGAATCCGTAGTATAGGCTGGCAAGATGTATTTCTTATCCCTAAACCCTAAACCCCCAAAAGCCATGAACCCCTAAACCCCCTAAACCCTGAAACCTAAATCCCTAAACCCTAAACCCTAAACCCTAAACCCTAAACCCTAAACCCCTTAAATCCCTACACCCTGAAACCCTCGAGTCGAGTCCCGAAAAACCCAACCCTTCCGGAACAGACGACCCCCCAACAAATGCAACTAAGGCCCTAATTTTTGTTGGGTTTAGGGTTTGGGATGTATGGACCGAAATCCTTATCATAACCTAAACCCTAAACCCTAAACCCCTAAACCCAAACCCCTAAGCCCCTAAACCCCTAAACCCGAAACCCTAAACCCTACACCCTAAACCCTATACCCTGAAACCACCACCTCCGAAACAAAAAAAACAACCCAACGACCGCGCAGCTCAGCTGCGGGGCACCAAAGCTCGGACCTGAACTTGGACTTTGGTTTTAGAGTTCAGGGCTTCGGACCTTTAGGGATTTAGGGTTTAGGGCTTCAGACCTTTAGAGGTTTAGGGTTTAGGGATTTGGGGATTCAGGGTTTATAGGGATTTGGGGTTTGGGGTTTAGGGTTTAGGGGTTTAGGGTTTAGGGGTTTTAGAGTTCAGGGCTTCGGACCTTTAGGGATTTAGGGATCAGGGCTTCAGACTTTAGGGTTTAGGGTTTCGGGCTTCGGACCTTTAAGGTTTAGGGATTTAGGGATTCAGGGTTGTAGGGTTTATAGGGATTTGGGGTTTAGGGTTTAGGACTTTAGGGTTTAGGGTTTAGGACTTTAGGGTTTAGGGTTTAGGGATTTACGGGTTCAGGGTTTTGGGGGGTTTTAGAGTTCAGGGCCTCGGACCTTTAGGGGTTTGCTAGGGTTCAGGGATGTTGAACCCCTAAACCCAAACGCCCTAAACCCTAAACCTTTCAATGAACCGCATAGTACCCTTGTAAACCCTAAACCCTAAACCCTGAACCCTAGACCCTAAACCCTAAAGTCTGAACCCTAAACGTTAAACCCTTTAAAGAAAGCCCTACACCCGTTTGACATGGATCCCACGGATGACATCTCGACTCAAATGCAGGAGGTCCCCGAAGAGAACGAAACCACATGCATACACAGATATGAACTTAGATCGATCGATCGATAGTTAGATAGATCGATAGATAGACAGAT